AGCCCACCCCGAAAATAAGACCTAGTGATGGGCGTGGCTACGCAGCGCATCTGCACAACCCGTGCATTTCACCACAGAGCGGTCAAGAAGACGAGCAGCCCTTCTCATCTGCCCCACGAGAGCTCTATTGCTCCACAGGAGAGATTGGGGCCAATGGTTCTAAAGGAAATAGAGTCACAAGAAATTCAGGATAGAATTCGGGGTTTGGAGAGTTATGATGATGTTCCAGAGGACGACGACTTAACTATATTTGAATAAATGTAGATTGCTGTACCATACTTAAAAAAAAAATAACACATCCCCTGAAAATAAGCCCTAGGGTGTCTTCTTGAGGAAAAATAAATATAAGACCCTGTCTTATTTTCGGGAAAACACAGTAGCCATCACCTCCTTTGCAAGCTTTCCCTAAACACCTCTCCCGCTGGCTGCAGACACCATGTTGACCCAGCCACCCTCATTCCACAACACGCTGAGCACAGTCCGACGGTGTGGACCACCGCTGACCCGAGGGTAGGGACCCCGGCCTTACACGTCTCTGTCTCCCCAGCACTTCGCGCAGTGCTGAGCTCCTGCCGAAGGCCTGCAAGCCCACCTTGCGCCTCTGCAGTACTTCTCTTAGCATCAGCAACACAGGGAGTGTGTGTTCCTCAGCTGCCATGTCAATGCTCTGCTTTTAAAGAGACAGCCAGGGAGAAGAAAGCGTTTCCTCCCAAATTCTTGGTATTCATCTTCTCCTCCAAAAGGCAGCCCGGCTTCTTCTATGTCACAGTTTTCTCTTGCTCAGAAGAAACACGGATTGTTTTCCCCGAAAAGCAGAAGCCCTTAAATATGTGCCGTCTGCCTCTCCACGGACCCCAGATGGAGTTAGACTCGTCCCACCGCTCCCCTACCTTGGCGTGAACGTTCATCCCTTCTCCTCACTCAGCCCCAGGAGTCTGGGGGCCTCTGATACTCTTTTTAACAGTGATGTTTAATTAGCCGTCTAGGAAATCTGGATGTCGGCTCCAAAGTGCCAGCACCCTGTCCCCCCGGGAGGTTTAGAAAGAGTCCCACATCAATAGAGCTCTGGAGGATTCGTCCAGATAACCTCACCGTGCAGCTTACGCCCTTGCTGCGACCTTCATTGTTATAACATTACAGCAGGACTCCACCCTCTCGTGTTGCTGCATTTTTAGTTCCTTTCTGCTTTCAACAACTATTCATTCAGTGCCTACCCCAAGCAAGGCATTGACACGGCAAGAGGGAATCAGTAATTTAAGAAAAAAAAAAAAAAGTGGACTTATGGACTTCCCCACTGTTAATGAACTAGATTAAAGTTCTCGGTCTGGAAGCCTCTCTTAACTAGTCTCGTCCTGACCCCTTGAACCTATTGGCCAGTTCGGGTTCTTTAACCTGGCCCTACGTGCAGCTCTGCAGACTCAGTTCAGTGCTGGCAATCTCGTTCCATCCACTCTGGTTAACTTCCCCACCCCAAGGCTGGCCTCTAGGACTCTACTTTAGCACTGACCCTGCCAGGACCAGTGAGAAGAGACCAAATCTTCAAGGAACCACTACATGAATTCACGCTGATTAAATAATGAGTTGTTCATCTAATTTTCTAAATCCACCACCATAGCCTAGCACTGCACAAAGTCAGTCTTCAGTAATTGCATGACTAAGCAAAGAAATGAACCGACGGGTCCTGGGCCCCCAGTCCCAGCTTGGCTCTGCTGTGCCTCTCCTCGGCTAGAGTTCATTCCACTTTGACCCTGACTGCAGAGGTCCCCACGGCTGCATTCATCGCAGAGCAAGCGATCGGCCGGTGCGAGCAGCAGCGGCCCGTGTGTTGGCAATGCCACTGCACGTTGATGGACTTCCACAGTAATTCAACATTATTATGTGTCAAATATAATTTATGGCTTAATACAATGCCAGTTTTATAACTGCATTATTGCTATATATTTACATCTGGAAAAAAATAAATCACAGTGAAATTTTCCACTTTGAAGGACTTCATCTGGGATTAAGTACTGAGACAACCAAGGTTGTATTTTCTCAGGCTGAAATCCTGGGCAGCTCCAGGCTTGAAAAACAACCAAAATCAGTTAATTGGTTTTGATTGTATCCATTTTTCGAAAACTATTTTGCCATCCTTTCATCTTAAATTTCCCAAATATGCACTAGGAATTTACCCTCTGCCTTTAGGAATTCAGGAGCCCTTGGAAAGGCTACAACATGGCTCAGAGACAGCCACCACCTCCCAAGACATCTCTCTTAATACCGTAAGGCAGTGGTCCCCAGGCTTTTTGGCACCAGGGATGTTTCATGGAAGACAATTTTTCCATGGGCCAGGGAAGAGGGGCAGATGGTGAGCGATGGGGAGCAGCTGTAAATACAGAGGAAGCTTCGCTCGCTTGCCCACCACTCACCTCCTGCTGCGTGGCCAGGTTCCTAACAGGCCACAGGCTGGTACCAGTCCACAGCCTGGGGGTTGGGGACCACAGCCATAAAGCATTAAATAAATGCCTAAAACATTACATAAATGGTCTCATACCACTCGTGCTCTTCGGTTAGCTGGCTATTGGTGGTGACTTGCTTGTGTTCAGCCACAAATGTATCAGGGATACCTTTCATCACAGGAAACAGAGATCTATTTAATTTTAATGTAAGTATGTGATTTGCATATATGCTATAATTTGTATATATCCCTGCCTCTTATTCCGGGGATACTTTAAGTTGTTTCTAATCTCTCATGCTAAACAACACTACAGAGAACACCTTTGGACAACTGTTTACACACTTGTGCATTCTTATTTCATTGAGGAGTCATCAATGGAGTCATAAATTTTTTAAACAAAAATTTTTTTAAAAAGGAGAATATACACTCCAGCAACTTTAATTGACACACAGACTTCTATTCAAACTCTGACACCCACTCAGGTGTCACCTCCTCTGTAAAGTCCTTCTCGGTTTCCCCACTGCTGTGCCATGGCAGAACTGGTCACTATTACCACTCAGCAACCTCAGTGCCTCATGCGTCTTTTTATGTACAGGCATTACTCTCCAGGATAAGCTAATCATTTACATTTCTGTCCATACTATTGGATCATAAACTCCTACAGAGCAGTTGCATGTGCCCTGTTCATCTATGTGATCCCAACATCAGATACCTAGTAGGCGTTAAGTACATCCACATTGAATCAAAATTCCCTTAGGAAATCATTAAAAGAGCTACCAAATTCTAAGTTTTCAACTCAAGATCTTATAGGCTGTAGGAAAACTCTATGAGAAGCGACTAAAAGATTTTAAGCAGGTTCTTCTCTGAGATGACTCCTCCGTGTGTGTGTGTATATGTGTGTATTTCACAATCAATTGAATTATCTCCTCCCTTCCTTCTCCTCCTGCCTTTCCCCCTTATTTCCCCTCTCTGTCTCTGAGAACTAGTTGTCTGACCTCTGCAAAATGAGGCAACCACTCATTTTAAGAGGGGAGTGCAAGGAGGTAGTCCCCAAGGAAGCCCCACGCCACAAGGGTCCCTCTGCAGGGACTGTGTCTCACGGAACGGCAGGAGGGATGGGGTCTGGGCACCTGGCAGAGGGCGCTCACCCTTGGCCTCCATGGTGGGCAACAGCAGTGTGACTTCGGCGCACTTTTCTCTCCCTTACTTCCCTCTCCCCACATCTAATCCACCACCAAGTGCTCCCCATTTCATCTTAAAGTTGCTCGAATGCATCTGCTTCACGGTGGCTCTACTGCCACCACCCCAGTCCATCGTCTTTCTCCTGGGTGTCTTTCTTGGGTTCTTAAAGACAAGGGGAGAGGATGGGAGGGGAGAGTAGGGGAGAAACAGTGAGGCTGATAAAAAAAAGTTTTAAAATGTAGCTGTTTACCTGCATTGTTTATTTCTCCACGGACCCTGTTTAACCGAAATCACGTTACCCATAAAGAAACATGCTCTCATGCTGGGCAGTTCACTTTCCTGATTATTTTTCAATAAATTGCCAGTATAACCTAGTGTAGCAATTTTAAATATTTTTACTCATTAAAAACGTCCAGCTGTAGAATATTTGTGACCCCAGTTTTCTGAGTAGACGTGTTCCCAGAAAATATCTGTGGGTGAGTCCATTTTCTCATCAACAGCCATTATGAAATTGCAAAGGAATTCCCAGGTGGGGGGCGGGGAGAAGTCTTCGAAGGACAGAGTTGAAAACCTTCACGACAGAGAGCTTGTATGCTGGAGAAACCTGTGACACACAGCTCCTTCCTTCCCTCGGCGACCTAAGGTGCAACAGGAGGGTTCCGGGAAGCCATGGTTGGTTTAGGAATTCCATGTGCTATGCCAGGGATTAGAGACATGAGAGGAACTAGGGTTCATAAACCGTGGAAATGTAAGATCTCGATTCCACGAAGCATGACTCCAGAGAAGGTAGAAGCTAGGAAGAGATGTTGTTATCACAGAGCTAAGGTTTTGTAGAAAACAAAAACACACAGGGATGGAACAGAGTCTGGCTCTGAGACACAACCAACCCAGACTGTAGTATGAGCCCATATCGTGGTCCCTGGGCTGGGTAGAACCACTGAAAACTGCCCACATCCTATGCTACTATGGTCGAGCTTCTTCCTTCTAGAAAGGAATGGACCCAGCCTGATACATAATAAAAAGCTTCTGGCTTTCCTTTAATGTCCCCAGCAAGTAAAGCCCACACAACATTTTGAGGAAGGTATTCAATGGCTTCATGCCCTTTAAGATTACCATGAAGACGATCTCTTCTCTATCACAAATTTCCCATTCTATTATTTAAACATTTTTTTACTATTTATTAAGATCACAAATTAGATGCAATTCAAATACATCATCTTATTTCAGGACATAAAAAAAAAATCTGGCCATTCATGGAGGTTCACGCCTGTAATCCCAGCACTTTGGCAGGCCAAGGTGAGAAGATCGCTTGAGGCCAGGAGTTTGAGACCAGCCTGGGCAACATAGCAAGACCCTATCTCTACAGAAATAAAATAAAATAATAATCTGCTTTGGGAGAAATGCACGATTTGACCATTTAAATAGTGTCTTTTCTTCAATGTCACAAATGAATTTTACTTAGACTCCTGAAATTTGGAAGTTGAAAAAGACTATGAAAAAATCATCTGATACAACATCATACTTTTTTCATGTCAGGAAACAGGATCAGAGAGGGAGAAGGGCAGGGTTAGGGACACACAGCACCAACACAACAGAGACTCTCATTCGAGTCTCCCTAATAGCACACCACTGCTTCCCGTCTCTTTGCCTCATCTCTTTGATGGACACATAATTGCCACCACTAACTGAAAGAGGCATCAGTCTCATTTTATGATGAAAAAGGACAGAAAGGAGACTCGTTGTCATTGCACAATTTATGAGGTCGTTGTTAGATTCATTACTTGAAGATCAATGGGTGTAATTAGTGACCCAAATTCAAGTAGATAAAACAGTTTGGCCCTTGTTTAAAATCTTGTCTTAAAATTGAGTAATTTACCCTACATTAGACACAGTGCCTCTGAGGGTCATATTTAATGATCATACATCCCAGTGTGAAGTGACCCCGGGAGAACAAGAGAAGACTTTGTAAATTGCACTTTAACTAATTTGCTCATCAGCTGGCATTTCCTCATCCACCTTGCACATTTTTTAAGAACTGTTAACAACGATTCCTATATTTATACAATAGTTTGCACTATACAAAATGCTTTTTGATATATAGCCCATGCCTACGACATAGCACTCATTATCTTAACAGCAACTTCGAGTGGGGGTGGTAGATAGAATAAATGTTAAATTCCCCATTTTACATAAAAACGGAGATTGAAGAGTCCTTGGGTTCTTGAACCTTGATTCTCATATTTTAATTCTGGCTTTTAGTCTCTTTCTCTTGTTTTCTTCTGGGTAGTGAGGTTGAGTTCAGGCTATTGAATTTTAGAAGGGAACAACAAAAAAAAAATGTGAAACAATGCTTTCTCCAAAGAAAAGACTTACAACCCCTGCACTCAATGTTCTTCCGTGGGATGGAAAACTTCTCACAATAATTTTGAAGGTCAAGCCATCTGTAAGGGAGCTGCCTGGCATGATCTTTCCCCAAAACAATCTATAAGCAAGACTGAAAACAGATTTCCTGGAGATGATGAGAAGACCTTCGGGGCAGTCACAAATTCATAACATTTTAGGACAGGGAGAGAATTGGAAATACTCTAGCTTCCATCTTCTCAGGTGATAGGTGAGAACCCCAAGGTCTACCAAAGTTGAGAGACTTAGCTGAAGTCATACAGCGAGTAAATGTCAGAGCTGGGCGAGAATCCACTCGCAGGACATACTTTCTCTAAGATACCATCCCCTCTTTCCCAGGTGTATGTCTAGATTAGGGTTTCTCAACCTGGGTGCCGCTGACACTTGGGGACAGAAATTCAGTGTTGGGGGGGGGGGACGGCGCTACCCTGAGCATTGTAGGATGTTTATTAGCATTCTCGGTCTCTCCCCACTAAATACCAGAAGTACCGCCTCCCCAGTTGGGATAAGCAAAAATGCCTCTTGACATTGCCAAATGTCCCTTCAGGGGAAGGCAAAATAGCCCCCAGTTGAAAACCTTTGGGATAAGTCAGAGCATTCCCTAGGGAATGTCCCATGGGTTTGGCCACTACCATTTCTAAACTCCATCTTTCATAGGTCCCCAACAGTGGTTCTTCCTTGAGTTGATGTGATCTTTGCTGGAGAGTTGCAAAGCGTATCTATTATTGGTCCCATTTGACTATCACAGAAATAACAGAGATCGGTCACAATGGAGACACAGCCTAGTGAGTCAGTTAGACGGAACCTTGTAGTGGTAGCTCAAAACCCTCACCTGTGAGACCCAAAGACGCCCGGTCTCCCAAAGCCCAGTCTCTTCAGGGTTCAATGTAGAAAACACATGTCAATATATTCTTGTGTAAGGATAAATGAAACTTTTTGCACCCCAGTGCTGAATGCTAATGAGTAAGTAACATCACAAATCAGAAATTTATTTAATAAATATGAAACGTAAGGGGGGAAGATTTTGTAAAAGTCATCTCATTAATAATGCCTTGTGTTTCTGAACCATGACAGCTTGACATCTCCATCTACTGTCTAAAGATCTACCTGTTCGTGGCCTCAACATGTATGCCTTCATTGATTTGCTGCACATGTGTCGAACTTTTCTCGGATGCAGAAAAGGAACACAGTAATCAACAAGACAGCCACGGCCTTGGCCCTCATTATGTCAATCAAGTTTTGTTGATTTTACCAGAAAATCTGTCTCCAACCTCCCCGTCTCCCCCACCCCCACTGTCTTTATGCTTGCTGAAGTCACTGGTTACAGACACCTGTCATAGGTAACTCTCTGGACGCCTCTCCCCCCTCTCCAACCTTCCCCCAAGCCAGTTCCCGAATAACCAACACAATGATTTTCCTGCCACATGAGACCCGATCAAGGAAGGCCACTGCTTCACACCATCGAACGGCTTCCCGTTGTCCCCCCTGAGCCTCTGTTTACACTGCCCCACCTCCCTCCAACACCCTTCCTGCTCTCTAGGAAATGACACGCCTCGGCTCTTCCAGACTTGGCTCAGCGTCACCGGCCCCTCCAGTAGTTTTCCTAACACCTTGGCTTGCGCAGGTGTCCCTGTTCTGTCTACGGAAACTTCCGCGGCCCTATCCTGTCACACTCATCATGCTGACGTTTATTCCCGAGGCCCAGCCCTGGGAATGGCTCTTTCCGAGACAGCAGATATCCACGGAATCTTTGCTGAAGAGCCGTGAGCTGGAACAAATAAATAAACGAAATAAAGAAATAAATAAAATAATAAAGCCTGGAAAATGTGGATTCGTTTAAGAATTTCCTGCAACCCTCTTTGATATTTCTTCTTCATAAGACTCGAGATTTTTCTCTTTGGTAGGAGATCCTCCTACTGATGAGGTTCTTTCCAGAAGTTTGGTGTGGTCAAACCAGCAAAGGGGACGTAGAACTTGCTACTACCACTGCGTCATCAGAAAATCGCTATACCTGTGATGCAGGTTGTCACCTGCAAGCTCGGGCCCTATCTTGGGGAAACCAGAGAAACTAAAATCAGGAAGGTAAAAAAAAAAAACAAACAAACAGAAAGCAACTCAAGCCTTTAGGTAAACAAGCACTTACACAGGAATCTCCTGGGCTCCTATTTACAGCAATGAAGTAGACCGTGTTCCAGTTACCTAGATGGGAAGCAAGAAGGAAAATGAGTTAGAGAGAGGGAAATGTTCTCTATATACTTATCTCTATTGCTCTGGCTTATAAATTTTGCTTAAGTGTGCTGTGTTCAGTTGTGAATGTGTGCCCCTGCCAGCTGCCCTCTACCAGAGGGTAGAGCTCACAGTCCACGCCCTCACATCCACCCCAGTGAAATGAGCATAGTAGAAACCCACCTAATGTGTTCTGAGATTTTTAAATAAATGATTGGGGTACCATGTGTGCACATGTCTAGTCAACTGTAATTGGTTCTGGGTTGGCTTGCAAACACCTCATAGTTTCGTAGTTATTATTTTGCTTCCTTCTGTGCAATGTCAGCCTGGAATTCCTCTCGCAAGTTCCTTTTCATAGAATAATATTCTTGTCTGCTCTGTGATATTGAGCGAGTTACTTAGCTTTCCTGAGCCTCCGTTTTATAAGATAGGAAGCATCTCTCCCTGGCAAGGGTATAGATTGATGGGTGATGGGAAGATCGATGGATAGAGAGATGCTATCTATTTATGCATAACAAATATCTCAAAATGTAGTGGCTTCACAAAACAAACGTTTGTTACCTTGGTTTCTGAGTGCAGTTTAGTTGAGTGCTGCTGTGTCGAGACCTCCCACGAGGCTTCCGTCAGGGTGCTGGCCTGGGCTGTGGTCTCCTCTGAAAGCTCGATGGAGGGCGGACCCACTCCCAAGCTCTCTGAAACGCTTGTTGCCAGGATTCAGTTCTTTACGGATGATTGGACTGAAGTGATCAGCAACCCCTTGGCTGTTAACAGGATCCTGCCTTCAGTTCATACCCACATGGGCCTCTCCACAGGGTGGTTTAAAACTGGCAGTTGCCTCCACCACTGTGGACAAGCAAGAGGCCAAGAAAAGGTGCACAGGATGGAAGCCACCGTCTCTTTGTAACCTACTGTTACAAGGAACTTCCCATCACTGCAGAACCAGCATTCTACTGGTCAGAAGTGAGTCACTAGGTCCAGTCCACACTCAAGGGGAGGAGATCACATAAGGACGTGAATATCCAGAGGTGGAGATCATTGGGTGGAAATCATTGCTGCACACCACCACACCAGGGAATACGAAAAAGCGTTTGTTACTCCACCAAACCCACAGGTACACCTGTTAACAGGAGGCAGTTCATTCTTCTGTGTCTTCCCATTTTAACTGCATATTCGATTTTTTTTCCCACTGATGCTCATTTCCTACTGCTTTGGCGTAGGGTAGGTGAAGTAGGATTGGGAGGACGTGCACAGCAGGGAATGAGGGAGGGCAGTGAGTCCCAGGTGGTTAACAAGGGCGAGGTGAGCCCCTCACACTATCTTGGTATTTCACAATGCATATTTTCTCCATGCATAGCTGCAAGGTGGAGTCACCACCTTGGAAAATTAAACTTCATAGAAAGCTGACCATGGTCTTACTCCCCTCTCCCTATGGCAGCAAAAGACGGAAAGATCCCCTCCTTGTCACAACTATGGAGCCTTTCATTCTTTCTGAGACAGAGTCTCATTCTGTTGCCCAGGCTAGAGTGCCATGGCATTAACCTAGCTCACAGCAACCTCTAACTCCTGGGCTCAAGCAATCCTCCTGCCTCAGCCTCCCAAATAGCTGGGACTATAGACATGTGCCACCATGCCCAGCCAATTCATGTATACATATATGTATATATATATTTTGTTGTTGTTGTTCAACTAATTTCTATTTTTTTTTTAGTAGAGATGGGGTCTCGCTCTTGCTCAGGCTGGTCTCAAACTCCTGAGTTCAAACAATCCGCCTGCCTCAGCCTCCCAGAGTGCCAGGGTTACAGGCTTGAGCCACCATGACTAGCCTATCAAGTCATTTTCAGATGAGATTTCAGAGGAGCCCAAGTCCTTTCTTTAGAGAGGTTCTAAAATGCAGGGCCTTAAAAGCAGCTGAAATGAAGTTAAAAAGCTTGGGGGAGTAAAGTGATAAAATATCCAAGAGATTTGTATGAAGTGGGAATGAAGATATGCACACACAGAGACACACAAGCAAACAGACAGAAATGAAATACTTTCCAGAAATTAGGGACAGAGACTTTCCAGAGGGAAGTCTCCCCCAGCGAGGAGAGAATTTAGTACCCTGACCTGCCATCAGCCCTCTTCAATGGGCTCCTTCATTACCTTATTGAAATGCTCATAAAATAAAGGTTAGTCCCATCCTAAGGATATCTCCTACCTTTTCCAAACCACACCATTAAGTTGTATTAGCTCCTTGGGGTTAGGCCACCGTAACAGGAAGAATGCATGCTAATGTGGGTTGCCTGAAGTTAAGCTCATTTAAAATCTGGAATGCCGTGGAGACAGTTCCCTGGGCTAAGATAAGATTAACGAATCTACATCTCGGCGATGCACTCACCTCCTAAGTTTCAGAAATAATTAGCTCTGGGAAGGACATCATTTGTTCATTCAACGAGTTGACTCCAGCCCCTCCACGTCCCAGTAATTCGCATACTTGAGAACTGAAAGACGGAAAGAGGAATTTGCACAAACTTCCTCAGTTCTGTGCCATTGACAGCAAAGTCTCCATATACACTCAACGGTATTTACACAACTGTTTTGCCCAATGCAGAGGTTTCCAGAGCTTTCTCTTTAGACTTTGTGGATAGCCAATGTCTGTATCAGTCCAACACCACTTCCTGCTTTTGGTAACAGTGCCCACCTCTTCTTTCAGGAACCACATTTTGGATATTCCATGTTATCCTAGGGAAGCTGTCAATCATGGCCACCTTCTCTGCCCCTCCCTCACTTCCTCCTCCTGGGTGGTCATGTGACCTGGGCCGACCAATCAAATCCAGATAGAGTTTGGAACCAAAAAAGACATGATTCAGGCCACATTAGCGTCTTCCTTAAATTTTAATAAATGGATACTGGGAGAGATAGGCTTTCTTTTCCTTTTGGATTTTGAGCCACGAGAAGATGGCATTAGTGCTTCCAGTGGCCCTTTGTATCACCAAATGGGGAGGGGCCCAAGAATAAAGCCATAGAGCTCCCAGAATATTCCTCAAACCCCCGTATCCAGCCCTGGACTTCCCAGTTGGGTCAAATTCTCTTGCTTCCCTAAGCTAGTTTGAGTTAGATTTCTGCCACTGGCCATCAGGAGCATCCTGACCAGTGCTACGGTCGATATCGGAGCCATCATGAAGTGTTAAGCATCAGCGAGACCAAGACAACTGCACGACCCCTGCCCTCAAAGAGCTGTCAGGCGAGGAGTGACCAGTCGACACACACACTGGAGTCAAACAGACCTGACCTTAAGTTCCACGTTCGCCATTTCCCACTGCGTGTCTGTGGCAGACAGAATTCTAAGAGAACCCCGGACCCCGCTCCCCCTACACACACTGCTGAACACATACCTGTGTCATCCCCTCCCCTGAGTGTGGACAGGACCTGGGAATAAGACAGGATATCACCTCCACGATTAGGCTACCTCATACGGCAACAGGGAAGAGATGTTGAACAGGTAATAAAGGTCCTAAGTTAATTGATTTGTTTTGTTTTGTTTTGTTTTTGTAGAGACAAGAGTCTTACTATGTTGCCCAGGTTGGTCTTGGCCTCAAGCAATCCTCCCGCCTCGACCTCCCAAAGTGCTGGCACTATAGGCATGAGACACTGTGTCTGGCCTTGATTTTGAATATATCAAAAAAGATATTATCTTGGCAGGTGTGACTTATTCAGATGAAAGCTCTTAAAAGAGGGATGGAAGCATTTCAAGAGAGAGAGGTACACTCTTGCTGGCCTTGAAGAATCAGAGAACTATATTGTAAACTGCCGATGGGTAGGCATTACCTCTAGGAACTGAAGGTTCTACAGCTGCAAAGAGCTAGATTCCACCAACAACTTGAAGGGGCTTAGAGTCCTGAGTGGCCCCTGAGTCACAGCTAAGAATGCAGCCAGGACAACGCTTCAACCAAAGCCTTGCAAAACCCTGTGCAAAGGACCCAGCCAAGATTTTCCTGGACTCCTGATCCACAGCAACTGTGAGATAATAAATATGAGTTGTTCTAAGCTGCTAAGTGTGTGGCAATTTGTTATAGAGCAACAGAAAACTAATAGGGCATCTCTGAACAATATTAAGCTTTCTAAGCCTGAATTTCCTCACCTAGTAAATGGTGATAGTAGAAGTTATCTACCTATATTGGCTGGTGTGAGTGTGAATTGGTAATGGCTGCAGGATTCAGCACCGGATCTATAGTTCGACACCCACTGGTCGCTAGCTGGACTCCACATTTTAAGTGTGTGTGGCAGTGTGTGTGCCCACGTGCATGTGTGCCCATGTGGGATAACAGGTGTTTGTTCCACCCATCACCGAGCACCCAAGCACCAGGGAAGGGACTTCTGTATTCTTACATTTTTCAAGTCTAACCTCTTGCGTTTATAGCAAATGAAAAGGTCTGGAATAGGTCCAGAAAGGGAAAGTGTCTCGCCCTAAGCCATAAAACTTGTTAGTGGCCTCAATAAGGACTTGCGACTCCCAGCGACACCCTGCCTCAGTCTCTACCCTCCAAATAACGGGCCCTTCTTGCCACACTGGTTATGGACATTCATATAAGACCAAGCTGTTGGGAGGACCTAACGCTTTCCTCTCTCGTGTCTGTTATCTATTGCCGTGTGACAAGTTACCCCAACACTTAGGACTGACATCAACAAACACTTATTAGCTCACAGTTTCTGAGGTTCAGGGATCAAGGTGCAGCTTTTTTGGCTGCCTCTATCTTGGGACTTCACATGCATCTTCCCTTAAGCTATTGAGTGGGGTTACAATCACCTAAAGGCCTGACCCAGGCTGGGATCCATGTCCACACTCACTCACATGGCCACTGGCAAGAGGCTACTCCTGTCCCCTGCCATGTGGCCTCCCTGCAGACCTGCTTACAACACAGAAGCCAGATTCTCCCTGAGCATGTGATCCCAGAAAGAGAGGATGACCAAGGTGGCAGCTGCTGTCTTTTATAACC